CTAATACGTTCTCTACGCCAAACACGTTTTCAAGAAAATTTTGGAATTGTATGAAGTTTAGTGAGAAGTTGTTTGTTTCATTCTCGATGGTATTTTTTGCGGGTTCAAGCATTTCACCAATTTTTTCGATTGCAATGTCAAGTGATTTGGGACGTTTAGGCTTTTTGTATTGAGGTCCGTTGCTGCGAGGTTTTTCATTGGTGGGATTAGTTGGGAGACGATTTAATTGTAGGATAGTTTTGAGGTTGATTAGAGATTGCCTTGGTTTGTCAGCTTTCTCGGGGTTGTGGTTATGTTCAGAGTTATTATCTGATGTTGACAGAGGTCTTTTGTTGGTGGATGGGGGAAGCTCTTCTGGCTGGTTAGTTGCTTTTTCGTTACTCGTGGAGGGCGGGCTGTATATTTCACTGGGATTACTTACAGTCGTTGAGGCAGATGTTTCCTTGTTTAGTGTTGCTTCATTGCATGTTTGATTGGTGTTGGGGCACTGCTTAGCGACGTGTCCTTCATGTCCGCAGAGAAAACAATTCAGCTTGTCTGAGTTCACAAAAATTCTATACTGGGTGTTGTCGTATGTGATTACGAATGAATTTGGAATTTTAGTTATATCTTCTGGGTTTATGTATATTGAGCGTCTGAAGCTTAGTATGTGTGTTAAATCAGGTTCTTGAATGCCAACTTTGATGGAGGAGAGTTTTGAAGTCATACGGATATTGTTTTGTCTGAAGATATTCTCAATATGGTCATGTGGAATTGAGGGGCAGACATTGGACAGTATTAGTCTCTGTGATGGAGTGATTAGAGGCCTTAGTTCAACTTTACGATTATTGATTGTTATATCTTTGTATTTTGATGTCAATTGGGTGACTATTTGTTTAGATTCCAAGTAGGTACATATTCTGCCGTTTGAAATTCTTGAAATGTAGAGTATCTCTTTGGGTTTAACTATTTTTGCAAGAGCAATAGCATAATCTTTAATGGATAATCCTTCAATTGATTCTAGTACTATTGCTTGTTCTTTACGGGGAAAGACATTGTTTGTTGCTGCTGCCGCGTAGGATTGCATTTTCGGTTGGTCTTTTTCGGTTATTTGTACTTCAAACTGGGTTTTCGCTAAGGGATCCCTGTACTCAGAGATCCCGTTATTTTGCTCCCTATCGTTCATACGATATTGAGCACGTGGCTTCAGTGATTTACAGACACCGGCACTTGGTATTATGGCACTCGCGATTGTATACAAATACGTCCGTACCGCTCGACTGTCAACACGAGACTCTCCACTGTATGTTGTAGGGTGTATGCGTTATCTATTATCCCTCTGTTCTTCCTAAAGCCAACCTGCGATTCCGGTAACACCTTTTTCTCCTCTACTTATTTTCTTCATCTTTCATTTAGCACCGATGCATATACTTTGTATGCCGTGCACAGAAGACTTTATACATATACAACATAACATGTATGTTTGGCGGCAATCTGTTGATTGGAAAATGTGAAAAGGAAAGGAGAGGGGAGAGGGAGCGTTTCGTTCTGGGCCTGCTAGTGGACTCATCAGTAAGGCTACCTAGCAGACCCTGCCTTAGACGCGGGGATATACGATGGTCGGTTCAGGACGTATATATACGAACGAGGAAGGATTCAGGTAGTTGCGGGAAAGGTGTCAACTCGGTAGACCTCTGATGGCGAATGTAGGAAGGAAGGTAGTGCCGCCACATATGTATAGAATAAAAAATTTCAATATTGAAGTGGAAATCATTTATTTTCTTCTGTTTAAATGCCTCACAAATCACTATTGTTTAGGTTTTTATTTTACTGGGAGGTTACAAAGTGAAATCACAAAATAATTAAAAATAAAAAGTAAAACCGCCACATTGGGATACGATGGGGGTCCGCTGACTGTTGCTCACGCGTTTAGGTTGCCGGGCATCGCGTCGAAAACGTGAATTTTCGCCACAGTAGGATTCAAACAGGATTTCCAAGCCAGCAATGATGTCAGTATTATGGGTCGCTTTACCCCCACCACTCTTTTCCTAAGATAGCTCACCGTCTCGAGCGTCAAAATCGTGGGTCGTAGACCCCCCACTCTTTTCTCACTATAGCTCACCGTCTCTCGAACGGCCAGTGCACACGGACAGGGCTGAGATATGCTTGGTGTGTGTTAGCACGGTGGACGTAAAGTGGGGGTAGCTGGGACGTCATAGTGGGAGACGATGGTACGGCGGAGTGGGGGAGTGGTGGGGGTAAAGCACCCACGATTCTGGCATCACTGACTGTGCGTCATCGAGAGTGCGTTGACCTATACGTACATGGGACGACGAACTGCGAACATTTTATAGAAAGAAAGACAGAACGAAAGATTTGGGACATATAATGGTGTATCTGAGATATCTATGTGCGACAATAGATGCTATGTACCTTGCATATAACTTAAATATGTAGGTAAACTGCAAATAAAGCGTGCCTGAATGCTAATACAATTTTAACACAATTTTCAAAGAGAACGGTTGTGCTGCGTCCCATGGTTCCTTTCAGACTTTTTACCCCCATGACGAGTAGAATACGATGCAATAATAAAAAAGTTTGACCTTGAATTTCGAGGTCAAGGTCACTTTTGCGGTCGCTTTCTTCTGCAAATCTCCACAGATCCAAAGGTGTAGAATAACGCTATGGTAGCCGTGACACTGAATTTTCAAACACCCTGTACATTGTCCATATACTCCATAGCTCTTCCTCAACCTTCATCTTTATTTCTACTAGACCTTCTATGTTACTGTCTTCTCTTACCTCCCATCCCACCCTAACACCTACCAGGATTCCACCCATTGCCCTCTCCTTTACCTTGTCTCTTTTTGCTACCTGATTTTTCCAAATATACCCTCCTGGCAATTTCGTTTTCAATGACTATCACCTTTTCTGTTCCACCCACGTTTCTGTTAGCCCTATAAAGTCAAATTGCTCTATATACTTCCAAAAATTCCTATCTTTGTCTATTAGCCTTGCCACATTCCAAAATAACAGCTTTCCTATTCGCGCTTTCAATTCATTTTGTTGCGTCCTCCTTGTTTTTCTTCTGTTTACTTTGTTTACGTCACTTCTTCCAACTTTCTGTGAGTTGTCCTTGTCCCCCAGTGGTGCTACTTTTGAGCAAATGTTCTTTCCATCTCCTCTATTTCTTCATTCCAGTCGTACCATTTCCCTTATATACATATTTTCCTATACTTTACCCATACCTCCGTTCCCTCCATTCTTTCCGTTCTTGCCACTTCTCTTTATCTTCTTTGTATTTCTCGTTCGTCATCTGTGAATTAGATTTCCCTTTCTCGTTCATAATTTTTTATTTATTTCCCAGCTCTTTAACCGCACTATTACTACACTTATTTCATGTTTTTTCCCTCTGGTCTCTATTGTATGTATCGTTTCCGCTACCTTGAATTTTTCTTCCAGGAATTCCTCAATTTTCTCTTTTCTTCTGACTTTTTTAAGTGTAACCCTCATTTCACGATACTATTTTTCCTTTCCCTTCTCTCCTGTCTCTCTATTATTCGTTTAATCATTCTAGCCTTTATTTGTATGCTTTGGTCTGTTTCTCCTGCCAGTTTCCCTCATGTTCTTTCTTCTTCTTTTTTCTCCTTTGTTTCTTTCTGTAAAACTTTTCCTACCTCCACCATAACTTCCGCCATCAAGGCTTCTTTTTCCTCTTCCTTTCTTTTCCTCTATTTCTTTCTTTTCTACTCTTCTTAGCATTTCCTCTACTTTTTTCATTAGTCCTTCTTCCTTTATTTTCCATCTGGTTTCTATTCCTTCTATCCTCTTTGTCACCTCCCCGACCTCTTTTTCCACTTTCTTTTCTAGTTCCTCTCTTCCGTTGCTTATTTCCGTCAGCATGTGTTCCATTCTCGCTGACATGGTCTCAAATGATTTCAATTGTTCTGTCATTACTTCATCAAATGGTTTTTCTTCTCTACCCTGATTTTGATTCTCTTTTTCCTCTTCATCTCTTTTTGGTGTTTTCTTTTTATCTACCTTCTTTCTTACTTCCCACTCTCAGTCGCTCTCACTTTTGTCTGCTTCTCCTTCTGAGTTTGACTTCCATATGTCAGTTCTTTTTCTCATGTTGCTGCTTTATTTCTTTCTATTATCTTCTGCAGAGGGTCTTTCTCTTTTTCTTTTTTCCCAGTTTCGTGTGCACTCCATCTTCCCCTCTGAAGACTTGTCTATTTTTTATTTTATCCGCGTCTTGTTCCATTTTTCTCTGTTACCACGTTGTCAAATACTGTTTCTTCTTCTCACTTATTCTATTCACTTACTACTATGTATTCTGACAACTGTTTATTATAAACCTGACCTATGTTTTATTGTTTTATATTTTATCTTACTTTTTAATACCTTATGCACTATCCTTAACCTTATTTCACATCACTAGTTCCTTTCCCTAACAGCGCTTATCTTAACCTCTTTTTGTATTCTTACCTCTTTCCTACGTTCCTACCGTTTCCAATCCTTAAATTCGTCTTTCTGTCTATCTTTTATCCTATCCTTTGCTTTCCTATCAATGCTCACCTTAAATACACTTTTTATATTCTAATTAATCCCTTAATTAATCTTATCACTCTCACTCCGCTTCACTCTCACACACGCCCTCTAACTGAATCCTATTACCATTTAATATTTGTTACTGTTATTTATAACATTTTTATATGTATCAATGAATTTATCACAATTTCTTTTAACATCGTCGAAACATAATTTAACACAGGCCTGGCCAAATATTCGCCCGTGGAGCCACATAAACAATAACACCAGCCCTCACCACTCGCTTCTGTTGTGTTGTCATCCTCGAGCAGGAGGTGCGCGCGCATGCTGTGACTGCCCCAGTTTCAACACGTATTCACTATATCAACGTGTATCGCCAAGATCCAATCAGAAGGGATTTCGGGAGTGCCGAAAGTGGGGACAGTCAGCATGCGCGCGCACCTCTTGCCCGACGATTACAACACAACAGGCATGAATGAATGGTGGGGACTGGTGTAAATGTTTATGTGGCTCTACGGACGAATGTTTGGCCGAGCCTGATTTAACAGATTTAAGTTACACGAAAACACGTTCTACACATGATTAGTAGTCAAATAACAACTCAAAGAATGACTTTACATGTTCAACACGTATACTCCCGCTCATAAGTATTAGGACACTGACCGAATACAAAATGAAGGCGAATAGAAAATGTTAAATTATAGAAGGTCTTGGAAAACTATTGTATAGATGTACATGTAAAACTTATAATAATGATAGTCCGAAAATTTGATGCAAAGTACGTGTACAGTTAATTTTATCGCGTCCGTCCGCGCGGATTCTTTTTCGAATCCGCCTGGAGTTGTAAATTCCAGGCTCGACCGTCGTGGTACGCGTTCAGTTGCGACTGTTGCCCGTCAAATTAATATTAGGCAACTGTTTCAATATTCTCTTAGTGAGAATGAATCGTATAATTGCTCGACCGGTGGAGTTGACAAATTGCAAGTATTGTGATCGTGACTTATCGAATGATCAAAGAATGCGTGGCTTGTCGAATGAGTGTTTTCGAATGAATGTTCATGATGTTTGCGAGTGATCGAATACGAATGAATGATCGAATACGAATGTCCGAGTTTCGTGTGACGTCGCGCTTCTTCTAAGTTTGCCGAAGGCGTTCCCAAAATTCGCATTCTTATTGGTTATGCCTTGACGGGGAATATTCTTATTGATGAACCAATTATTCCTGCTCATATTGCCAAAATGAAGTATAATATTCCAATATTTTTGTGGTTAGTAGAGTATAATCAAGTTTTATAGTTGTAATTCAGTAAGACATATATTTATATATATTAATTATATAACCTTTGAAGATTTATAGTTTTTTTAACTTAAAGTCTTGGAATATTATGCCTGAATTTAAAGGTATAAATTGTAAATTTATAAATGAAATTAATTTTCTAATATTATTTTTGTAATTTAAATAAAAATATCAGATTGCAAGTTTGAA